CGCCCCGCGGCCCGGCCACGCCGCCCCGCACCTGCCCGGCCCCGGGCCGCGCCGCTCCCTCCGGAGCGCTCCGGCCGCGTCGCCGGCGCTCCCTCGCGCCCCTCTCTCTCCCCGCGCCCTCCTCCCTTCGTTCTCCTTCCCCCGTCCTTTGTCTCCCGCGGCCCCGCCGCCGGGCTGACCCGTCCCCGCGGCCGTCGCTCGGCCCGGCAGCCGGCCCGGCCCCTGCCGCCCGTGGACGCGTAAAGCGGTCGTTCGGTCGAGCAGCGGGGAAGGTGTCGAGCTAAGATTTCCCCCCTGAAAATAAATTGTTTTACTTCGGCAGCCCGCCGAACTTTCCCGGTACCTGCGCGCAGCCGCTGCTCCTTCACGGCTCCGCGGAACGCTCGGCGCGCTTCGGCCGCGAGCTGCAGCGTGCAGAGAGCCGCAGCGGGCGGGGGGTGGCGCGGGTCACGCCCGGGGGGGGTCCGAGCGCACCTGCGAGCGGCCCGGCCTGATTGACTGCAGGGTGGGGCTCAACACCTTTCGCTTTTTTGTTTTGTTTTCGCTTTTGTTAGTATTTGTGCATCGTTGCAATGATGACAGTTCAGAACGCTCCAGTTCTCATTCAGCGTCAGAAGCAGTTGGCTTCCAATTTGAATCTTGAAATAAAAAACGTAAGCTCCCTTTCTGCAGCTTGCTTTATTTCTATTGTTTTGATATTTCTGCTGTTCTTTATTCTGTCGTGTTTTGGAGGCTGAAACGCAATGTCCGGTCTGAATCTTTGTTTCTCTTCCACTGAAAAAGCAAACAAGATTCCAACTAAACTGATGAGTTGGGTGCTCAAATGTGAGCTCAGAACCTATAGATTCATCCTGGAAATAAATGAAACAAAAGAGTACAAAAGAGGAAATATTTTGCAATTTATCTTCATCAGTCACAACAACCAAGGAGATAATCACATCCTCCTGTGGGTACCGATGTTTCTACAAAAGGGGAATGGGATTGCTGGAGAGGGAAATGATCCTTGTGCAGGGATGCATACGTCCCGTTATTTGGCACTGGTTCCAGCAGAACCAGGTCTTTCTCAGGTTCTGCAATGAGAGCACAGCCTCATGCTCCCCCTGACATCTTCTCCCCATCCCTCTCTCCAGTGCCCTGCTGAAGGACAGCCTTCCCTCAGCCCCTCATGCTCTGTTTGGGAACTGCCTGCTAAGAGTGTGTGCTCAGGCTCAGCCTGTCACTGTGTTCTCAGTTGCAGTGGGTGAATTGCACAGAGCTGTGACTGTTCTACATTTTCTAGGTGACATCCTGCAAGTTCTCTAACCTCGTTTCTCCCTGTGCTGTCCTTGGCTCTGGGAACACACTCACTGCTTGCCACTGCCCTGTGAGCACACTGAATTTTCTTGTCGTTGCTATCAGGAACCAGCTCCACTGAGAAGGCCTGGCCTGCACAGCAGCTGGTCTGTCTGGGGGCTCGTGCACACCTATTAACTCTCCTTCCTGACCAGCTGTGTTGCTTTCTGTGCTCAGCACATTGGTGCAGGCTTCTTCTTCAGCCAGGCTGTGCTGGGTGGTCTGCTCCATGCTGGGGAGGACAGGCCAGGGCTGCCCCGTGCTAAGCATAGCCACTTCTGGCATGTTCCGGTGTGTTCCAGGGGGTTTTGGCAGACTCTTTGCTGGCCCCCTTTGAGGCACAGGTGGGCCCATTAGCGATAATGAAGGCAGCTCAGTGGAAATGTGTTGGAGAAAGGGCAGAACCCAGTACAACTCTGAGGAGCTGGGAAAGGTGTGTGAGAACAGGGCAGCAGAAGGTGCTGTGACAGCTGCTGTGTGACTGCAGCCCTGAGCCTGCACTCGGGAGGAGGTTGCTGGAGGAGATGGCTGTGTAGGACTGCGCCGGGGCCTGGCAAAAAAAGAATGGAGTAGGGTGGTGTTTCAGTTCCTTTGTTTCTCACCAACCATTTCTCAATTCTATTTTTCAATGTCAACAAATTAAATTAGTTTTTCCCAAATCCAGTCTGTTCTGCTCATGATGTTAACTGGGAAGTAGTCTCTCTTCCTTTACAAGCTTTTTGAGCTTGGTTCCTCACCACCCTGCTGAGGAGGGCAGTGAGCACGGTGGACTGGGAGCTGGTAGTGCTGGTATCAGCCCTGCACATGCTGGAGTCAGGGGAGAGGAAACTGAGCCCCTCTCTGAGACCCACTGGCTCCAGCATGAGCTGCATTATGAACTTCCATGTATTGTGATGGAACAACACTTCCAGAGAGGGCTTGTTTTCTGTGTTCTGCTATACCCATCAGCCTCTTGGTTGCCATTCCTGCTGACTTTGCAGAAGGTTTTGAGGATACTGAGAAGATCTCTTTTCCATCTGGCAACAAATCATTCACATTTCAGTGCAGTGTCCATTGTGTGCCCATTGTTTGAACAGGGCATTTCAGCAGGCTGTAGCACCTTAACACTTCTGATTACGTTTTTTGTCTGCATGTGCTAGAGCAAGGTCAGCTTGGGTATTTGTATTCCACAGTCCCTCTGCATTATTACACTGTGAGTCAGTGGGGTAGATATCCCTTTTTACTGTCAATCACTATACTCTTTGCACTTCCCTTACTGTCCCATAAATGATCTCAATTGAACATTCATTACCGGAAAATAGAAAGCTCCCCCCCTCCTGCTTCTTCCTAACAACGTCTCTGTTTCAAGTTGTGAGCATGTGTCTGTCTTATAATATCAATGATTAAATTGCCTGGGATTTCTGCTTAGTTCACTTTAAACAAAATTGTGGATAAAAGCTGGGTGATTTATTTTTTCCATGCAGCAAATTCAACAAAAATGCAGTTTTGCTTATCTTCAAATAGTCCTGAATTATCTTTGCTGAATAGTTTTGGCTGAGTATGTTCAGGATGAGACTCACAGATGTGCCAGAGAGGCTTTTTTTGTTTCCCAGTACCTTAAAAGCTAGGGAAATTTTGAAACATGTATGAGATCCACGTCCAGTTCTGTCCTCTGCCTGAGTGATTCAAATTCACTTTGCTGATCAATGAAATTGTAGGTTATCTGGGGGTATAAGAAGAGGGAAGAGAATATTGTTTTCCCATCAATACTGTTTCCATGTGTACAAAGAACAATAAGTGGAGCAGGAATTAGATCAGATTCTTCTCTTTGCTATGTGAGAAAGAGTAGATTAGAGCTTTCTGCTCATGCTTTTCCATCAGCATTTGCTTTGGCATGGAGTTCAATAAGGCTGCAGCAAGAGGAACTGGAGAAACCCTGTTCCGAAGTCTTGTGGATGGTTCTCATCTAGGACAGGAACGTGAGTACAGATCACTGACAGGAAAGTGATCTGAGCTCAGTGTGTTAGCAGGCTGTGCAAATGCCCAAACAGATGGGCAAAATGGGGCCTTGCAGTGCCTCCTAAATGCCACCATCCCTTTCTTTCAGTTTTCTTTCAGGTATCTACAAATGAAATATTGACCTGCCCATCTAATGGAATGTCTTCGTCAGTGTGGAATAGTATTCTGGGCCTTCCGGTGCCAAGGAACCCTCCAAAAGAATCATATGTAAAACCAACACCAAAAATCTGTTTGTCAGCACATGAAACACCCACCAGCTGCTACTAAGGGGTGCTGCATGCTCCCTGAGTTAAGGCCTTGTCCCTCTACTCCCTGCAGCTTTCCTGGAGCCTTGTATCAGCACTGCTAATATACAGTTGCAAGAACCAGTTACAAGCTATCTCTTGTTCCAATGAGCTGCTTGAATGACAACGTAGAAGTGAGTTCTGCTGTTAGTGACTTTTCCAGGTACCATTTTCTCCTCAAATCATAGCAGCAGATACCTTGAAAGCTGTTTCATGTGTACTCTCACCAATTGCTTTTTCCCTGAACATGCAGAAGGTGCCTCACTCAGTTTAAGCTATTTCCTGGAGGACATATATGACCACAGTTACTTGTTTTTGAAGTTACTTTCCATAAGATGAAGAAAACTGTCAAGTAATTGGAGTGCTGGTGCAATTTAATTTGAAATTGTTATTCCCAAATGCTAGCAAAGCAGGCAAAAGCCTCTGAGCATGATCATGAGTGAAACTATTCTTCAGTGTTAAGTGGTTCTGAGTTAATGGCAGTCCCTGGCTTACCAAAGCCTTTGTCATCACTGTTTGGAGGCAGATCCACCACATTTGTTTCAGAAGATGCAGCAATGCCTTTTCTTTCAAGACATGCCATTTCCTTCCACAATTGCCTTGTTAGGGATGCTGGAAGAGTGGATGACCTCTATGGTACCGGGATGCTGCTATCTTCTCTCTTTCAGCGTGGAGTATTTTTGATGGTGCTTGGTGAGCAAATTGCTCTTTTTCATCTTTCTCATGCAACACTGTTGCTCAGCAAGGCTTTCCTGCCTGTCAGCTGTTACAGACTCTAAGAGATTACATTGCTTGTTTCACAGATTCCCTATTAACAACTTGTTTTTGCTTACTGAATTCAGAGTACATATGCGGTATATCACTGGCTTTCACCTACGTTTCTCTAGTGTACTATTCGTAATGTTATCAATATTTCTGGGCTCATATTGCAGCTGGTCCTATGATTCAGCTGTAATTGAATCGGCTGGTGATCTAATATCTCGATTGCAAATACAGCTGCCTTTTTTTTTTTTTTTTTTTCTACAGAGCATGTATATCAAAAGTTTGTGAAGCAGTTAAGGTCTTATGGCAAATATTGCTTGCTTCCTGGAATTCTCAATATTCTCAAGCAGCATAGCTTTTTTTAATTATTATTATTTTAATCTCTCTCTACTGCAAACATTCTGGCTTAGGCTTCCAGTCTCTTTCTGTCCTGGAATTTCTTTGCATGGCACTGACCTTGGTTTTGTATCACGTCACACATAAACCCCTAATTTTTGTTCTTTGATTCTGTGCTAAGGATTTGCCCAGCTCTTCTTCAGTTGCATTTGTTGTTCAGTGCAAGCAACCAAAAGTGTGCCTTTGGACTTTGCTAGCTGATACATTTTTTCTGTAATATTCCCGGATTCTTTTCTCAGTTGTCTATACTTTTGTACTTATATTAAAAATCTACTTTTTTTTCCTAACAACTCTGTTTCTCTCAGATTATGCTCCAATCTTCATATTCCAATCATACTGATGATTTGATGCCTACCAGTATCTGAATTCTGTTTTACACCTTTTACTGAGAATTTGTTTCAGGGTACACAAAGGCAAACAGCACAATCTGCCATACTTACCTGATACTTTAAAGCAATCATAGTGCAAATAACATCTATTTGTTTTAGTTATTGTTATTATGAGATGGTTCATGAAAGCATATACCTTGTGGAGTAAAACAGGAATTAGGGGGATATTATAATGTATAGTGTGCTATATACAGGGTGTAGAATACTTTATAAGGCAGGAGATTGAGCTCTATTTACTGTACAGTTGCATCCATGGAACAGTTCCTGCTGGCAAGAATATCAATATTTTTTCACAGTCTTTGAAAGAAGACTGTTAGAAGACTGTTACAGTTCCACTCATGTAAATACGATGAGTATTTTTAAAAAGCACATCACAAGGTTGTCCACTTCCAAGAAGGTGATGATTCAACTGCTGGGTGCATTTCTGCTGAGAGCAAAGAATGCTGCCTTGTAAGAAAGAGTAAAGGCAGAAGGAAAAAGCCAGTCAGACCCAAAGGATTTATATTCTCAATGTATATTACGTTAGTTTTCCACCTATTCTGTCTGAGAAATGCATGCACACTAGAGCAACCAGCACTTTGATGATTTCATAAAGCTTGTGTGTTACATCATT